ATTGTTAACAAAAAATAAATTAATTAAATTAACAAAAAGGAAGTAACAATGGGCTTAGGGAGATTTGGGGTGTTAGGCCCAAAGAAGTATTGTTATCCTTTGTTGTTGACAAAACAAATCAGAATGGGGGTATGTTAGCAAGCGAATGGGCTTAAGGGTTTGCAAAAGATAGGCCCAATGTCCTTAAACAGTTTAACGCCTCTGATTAGGGAAGCAAAAACGAAATTAGGGTTTGTGGAACCCCTTGGTACAGCGGCGCTCTCTCATCGTCTCTTTCGTTCTTCTTTCCAAATTTATTCATCTCTGATCTCTATTACTCACCTCTTCCTAATTTCATGAAAAAATCACCCTCTTAACAACCTAATCTCTCATCATCTCACCGCGATTTGCGTTTTCTATGAAAACCCTAAGGTCAGATTTATGCTTATCTGATCTTCCCCCCAAAGTTCTGTTGTCGGAGCTCTCTCTCTCACCGCCTAACCAAGCCCTAATGACTTTGTTTCTTGAAAAAAGGTTAAGTTCTGTCTTTATTAAGCTTAAACGATTTTCAATGTTTCTTGTCTTGTTATGTTTTTTCTGTTGATCTACTCTATCATACCTTGAGATGCAAAAAATGGCTCATAAGGAAGGTGAAATAGTCATACCTGTTTGTGGCTTTTCTGTGAAGTGGACGGGGATGGTGGGACCGAGGGAAATGCTCCCTGGTGGCGAGATTTGCAAAGGGGAAGAAATGAAGAAGAAGGCGTGAGCTTTCTGGTAACCCTTTCTATTTTTCTTGTTGAACATTGATGATGCTGTTTATTGGATTTGGTTTAAACTGTTGTTGGTTGTGACAATTTGGTTTGAGTTTTTTTTTTGAAAATTGTTGTTACAATTTGGTTTGAGGTTTTCTAAAAGTTGTTGTTACAGTTTGGTTTTGATGTTTTTGATGGAAGATGCTGTTACAGTTTGATGGATTGCAGGCTTTGTGAGTTTTGTGATTTTGTTGATGGCTTTGGAACTTTACTGGTTTTTGTTATAGTTTGAAAGTTGGTTTGACAGTTTGAATGTTGTTACTTTTTCTTATCAGTTCAGGCTTTGAGGTTTTTTTGGGATTTTTTGTGGTTTGAACTTGTTGGACAAGTTGGGATTTTTTTTGGTTCTTTGATCTGTATGTTTAAATTGTTTGACAGTTTGATGATTTGAGGATGGTTTGAGATTTGTTGACAGTTTTTTGAGGTTTGAACTTGTTTGACAGGTTGATGCCTTTGACAGTTCTTTGGTTGATGGTGATTTTTGTTAACAGGTTTTTGAGGTTTGAACTTGTTTGACAGATTTTGTTGACAGTATTCTGAGTTTGATGGATGATGGTTTGATGATGGTTGTTACAGTTTTGGAGGTTTTCTTTGGCTATGCAGTTTTGATTTTGGAATATTTGTTTTGGCTGCTGTTTGGGCATTCAGTTTGGAATAGTTTGCTTACATTTCCCTTGTTTGGATAGTTTGCTTACATTTCCCTTGTTTGGATAGTTTGCTTACATTTCCTATTTCTTCTTTTTTGTGAACCAAGAGGAATAATTCTCTTGTGATTTGCAAATAGAGAAAAATAAAAAATATGATGAAATAAAAAATAGCCTTCTGATTCCAAATTGCAAACTTTAATGATGAACACTTTTTTCTTTTGAAAATTCTTGCTTATGCCCAAATAGTTTTTGTACTAACTATTTTTGTCTTTTATTTTCATATGAGCACAACTGAATGGTGGCAAAGCAGAGGAAGCAAGAGACTCTGTGGCAAGCATGGAAGCAATGGAAGCTCAGTCAACCTTAGACATAGATTTACTTTCTTTGTAATTTAGAGAGAAACATTCAATCAAGTGTACTAATTTATTTTTCAAATGAGATAAGTTGTAAATCCTAAAGTATTTAAATAATAAATTGTTTTGTAACAACTTTTGAAATAAATGGAGAAAGTCTTATGAGATATTCTGATGTCCATTAAAATCCTTTACTCAACAACAACTTGTAATCCTCTCTTTGCATCTTCACTGATTCTTAAAGATTCCTGATCAAGATAATTGACATTGCATTTCAATAATTCCAATCAAGATAACTTAAATTCCAATAATCCAAAAATTATGTAATCTTGCAACTGCATTCCAATCAAAACATGCACTGTCTATTCCAATTCATAAGCAAGCAAATGTTTTTTAGAAGACGCAAATCATCTGGTTAACCTTGAAAACAAACATTGTTTTTTCAGTAATCTTGAGAAAGCATGAAAACATGTGAAAGCCAATTGGATCTTTGAGAATTCATTTCTTTTGAGAATTGTAAGAAAAACCCTAATTGCTGGTTTACTGTCAAAGGAGAAAATCTGTCTGATCAATTCCTGAGCCAACTTGAATCTCTGAGAAACCCTAGGGTTGTGCTCTTTATGAAAAATGAGAGGGCAAATTTTGGGGTACAACACCTTGTATAAGATGATTCATGAGTTATACTAACTAAAAGCTTTCACGTTTAATTGGATACTCTCAAGATCAAATCTTGGGAACATGACTAAGTCATTTTTTAATAAGCATATATAATTCTTGGTGTTCTCCTCTTATCCCTTAAACTCTTTATTTCCATAATTTATATTCTACAATTTTATTTTTTGTTGCGTATTCATAAATATTTTCTAAAAATATTTTCCAACTCTGATCATGACTCGAAAAGTTTTTCAAATCCAGTTTTTTCCAAAACACACAACTCACCTTCTCTCTTGTGTGTAAAATCACATGTAAAGCAAAGTTTATAAACTACATAAGACTTGTATGGACGTAAACAAGCTCCAAGAGCTTGGAATCAGAAAATTAATGGCTTTCTAAGAGAGATAAGATTCATGAAGTGTGCATATGAGGATGATGTGTATGTAAAAACAAGTGACAATAATGATTCGATAATTATATGTCTGTATGTTGATGATTTGCTAATCACTAGCAGTTGCAAGAAGGAAATTGAAGATTTCAAATTGGACCTAATGAAGGAATTTGAGATGATCTTGATATCAATGTTTTCCTTGGAATTGAGTTTTACAGGTGTAGTAGGAGATTGATGGTGCATCAAAAGAGATATGAAAATGACATACTCAAGAGATTTGAGATAGATAACTACAAGTCTACAATAACATCAGCTGAGCCAAGACTGCAATTAACAAAGGACTTAGATGAGGAAGACATTGATCTAATTCAATGCAAAATGCCCATTGGATCTTTGAGGTGTCTTTGTCACACAAGAACTAACATTACATACACTGTACGAATATTAAGTAGATTCATGCAAAAGTCATCGTTGTCACACCTAACATTAAGTAAGAGAATACTAAGGAACCTTAGAGACACATTGAATTATGGCATTTTGTTTACAACAAAAACAAAGATAAGGAATGTAAGCTTGTTGGATAAACTAATTCTAGTTTGTGAGATGATGTTGATGATGGAAAATCAACGATAGGTGGTGGTTTGTCCTCATATGAAGAAGAGTACATTGCGACATCACTATGTGCTTGTCAAGCCATATAGTTAGTGAATTTGTTTGATGAAGTTGAAGGAAAATTCCATGGAGCCATGACCATGAAGATTGACAATATATCAACCATACATTTGGTCAAAAATCTTGTTGCACATGGCAAGAGCAAACATATAGAAATGAGATTCTACTATCTTAAGGAACAAGTTAATAATGGAAAACTATGTTTAGAGAATTATAGAAGTGAAGACCAAGTTGTAGACATCATGACCAAAGAAGTGGAAGTGCTCAAAAAGTTTAAAAGTTTAATGGGTGTAGAGAGTTTGACACAATAAATTAGTGGTGTGTTGAATATAAATCTTGTTTGTTTGTGTCTTACATGGAATACAAGTAATAGGTGGTTAGTAATAAAATTATGTTTTAAGTTAATTACACATTTTGTGTGAGTAGTTAGTTAGAGTTTTGTTGGTTACTTGTAGAGCAAGTAACAACTCTATATAAATTGTGTTGTGAACATTCAAAAGTGCAAGTCTGTATCTCACTCTCTTCTTCTCAATCTTCATCTCTTTCTTCAATCGAACCAACGATGCAAAATGTTTGTGTAAGAACAAAGCTTAAGCAAATTCTAGTGGATCATTCATATATATGCATGTGATTAAGTGTTCTTGGAATTGAGTTTTGTTCCAACACGATGAACTATCACCTAACTTTTTAGATATCAAATAGCTTGTTAGAATTCAAGTCCATAAAGACGACCCAACTCAAAAGACTAGTCCATTAGATACAAAAACCTCATAGCTTAAATATTACATTTGAGTATTTTTATCTAATTTTCACTCCATCGGCACTATCCTGATGGTAGCCCTTTTCTTTTAGTGGCATCCCTCTCGATGGAAGTATCAATTGTTAGGATTTAAAACCATGAAAAAAATCCAATCCTTTATTGTGAAATTCCTATCATAACTTTTCAATTAAAGGCTTGTTTATAGCTTAATCTTAACAAACGAAACCTTCGTAATTTCTTCGTGCAGTAACTGTTGCAGTTCCTTTAAGACTGTTTTTGTGATAGACTAGTGTTCTAGTTTAACAATTCATTAAGTAATTGAAATGATGCAGTTTAATGGAAGGAAAAAAAAACAATACATATATGATCTCAATAGTTTGAAAGGTTATAGCGAGTAAAAAATCATTAAATAAGAGCAAACAAAAGGAATATTTATAAAATTTCCAATATAATTCATATACCCTTAATTTTCCTTGTTACAAATATATGTGTATAAATTTTGAATCCTAGAAATACAATCATGTAATAGAAAATTGGACTTTCTGTATTGTCCATAACAATTGCAAGACCAGGTTTCACTTTGGCCCAATGGGCCACAAACACGTCAGATCAAACATTGAACCAACTAGTAACTGTTCAAATTACAACATAGTGTTATTAGTATGAATTCATTATGCATGTATCAAGAATCTTTGCTTAATAATTTCTAGTGATTGTAGCAACTTTATTTTATAAGCAACTCTCTGGTAGAACTAAACCCAGTGCAGCACCACCAGCATGGTTACAAGATGCTTCAGCAACTTGATTTTTATAAGTAAGTTTTACATCTTCCAATTTTATCCCACTGCATGGATACTTGGAACTACAATCAAATTTCACAGCTACTTGTGTCGCTGATGTTCCATGAATGTCTTGATATGTTACATCACTAATTTTAATTCCAGACGCCTGTCCGGGGCAGTTTTTGTTGTCAGGGCAGTAATTCTGGTCAATGACAATTGGGTTTTGGACATTAACCATAGTTGCATCTTGGAAAAAGACGTTCCTAACAAATCCATTGCTAGCTCTACCCCATGATTTTATTCTAACACCATTTTGAGTTCCTGTGAATGTAACTGTTTTAACCGTTACATTTTGGACACCTGGTTCGTTTAACTCCCATCCTAAGCTTCCAATGCTGCAGTTAGTATAAAACTAATCATTATTATAGTCATTACAATAAATATAACTTCACTCTAGTCTTTTATATAAGAAGATTTTTTTTATCAAGACGAAAGAGATTTGTTACCTTATTCCATGTCCCGGTCCACATTCAATTTTTTCAATCCACAAACTATTGGTGCCAGGTCCGATCGAGATACAATCATCACCGGTGTGAATTTTGGAGTTGACAATGGTGACGTGAGAGGACAATTGGACATGGATGCCGTCAGTGTTAGGGCTGTTTCCGGGCGCCACAATTTTCACATCTTGTGTTTTTACATATTGGCATCCATTAAACACTATGTGGAACAATTCACTATTTACTGATGTCAATCCACTAATCATAATGTTTTTTGAGCTGATAAATTCCAGTGTCTGAAAACCATTGCAAAACAAAATTTACCACTTTCATCATCTTATAAAATAAAATATTCTTCAAATAATTATGATAGTGAGCAGTTGCAAATTAACAGTTCCATGATCCCCTACCTCGTTAAATAAATAGTTCTTTTAAATTCTATTATTATATATAGCAGTTGCCTTAAATTATTTATAAATAAAACCTGAAGTACAAAATGAAAAATAATAATTATGTGCAATGTCAATGCATGATACACATTACCGTGGCTCCGGTTGGGCAATTTCTGTTGTTGGAATTTTTACAGTTCCACAAGGCAGTACCCTGGCCATCAAGCACACCGCCGCGAATAGAAACTCCGTCTACATTCTGAAAGCTCAACCAGTTACTGGCTTTACTGGTGACGCGGTAATTAGATGAGGCAATCAAAGTACCATCAATGGTTATGGAAATAGCTTTGTTAGCACAATTTCCACTAAATGTTATAGTTCCAAGTAAGAATTTCCCTTGTGGAACGTATATTGCTGCGGGATTAGGCGACGAACATGCCTTAGTCCATGCATTTAAGAACGCTTTAGTGGAATCAGTTATTCCGTCTGGTTTGGCTCCGAATTGGATTACATCGAATGTGGATGATTTTACAGTTGCGAAATTGAAGGAGCAAGATAGTGTGATAATGAGGAAGAGAAAAGGAAGAGGATAAGTATTGTTTGACATTTTGTTGAAATGTAGAGGAAATAGGGAGAGATATTATTTATACGATTAGAGAAGAAGTTGGAAGATGGAGTGGTAGAAGTGGTGAGGGTAGTGGGGTGTGTGAGTTGTAACGGTTTATGATTGAGGACCCTATTTATAGCTACAAACTCAATACTTTATGCTTCTTTTTTCATGTGTTTTTATCAACTGTACAAGTTTACAACTGAAAATTGAATTGATTCAAGTTTAGAGCGAAAAATGTTTGAAACCAAAGGAGAAGTCGCGCCGAAAATTTAGAGGCTGTTTTTTCGGAAATGGCCTTTGCGTGTGCCTTTCATTTGTTGGTTAATCATCCAATAGTTAGTTTTGGTCCTAATGGATTTGGTATATTACTATAGTACTGTTTTAAGATGGATTAAATTGAAAGAGGTTTTTTAACAGATTCATTCATTCATACCTAAATGGAAAAAGGCACATGGGCTATACCCATATCTCTTTTTGTTTGTCAATACACATGTGGAGATTATTGCGGAAAAAATGGTGTATTTGTTCATAATTTTAATTTTCATATTTGATATCTTGATTTATTAGGGTATACAGTGTTTTTTTTAATTATTTATTTTTAAAATTTATTTAATAACACAAATATAAGGTTTTGTCATTAACCAATTTCACAATTGTATAAACTACAAAAAAAAAATGCAAGTCATTAATCAATTATTTTACTTTTAATTCATTAGTCATCTTCACTACTTTATTAACTAATAAAATACATATTATTAACCATGTTCTGACACAAAATTATAAATATATTAACCAATTTTTACACATCATTAACCAATTTTATTTTACTAATTAATATTTTTTTATGTTTGAGGATTCATTAACCAACTTATGATTATATTAATCAACTTTATACATAATATTAACTAAGTCTGAGCTATATATATATATATATATATATATATATATATATATATATATATATATATATATAATATATATATATATATATATATATATATATATATATATATATATATATATATATATATATATATATATATATATATATATATATATATATATATATATATATATATATATATATATATATATATATATATATATATATATATATATATATATATATATATATTAAATTTTTATGTCAGAATATATATTAACCAGACATTCAACTGTATTAATCAAGTTTTAATATTTCATTAACCAAAGTAGTTTTAGACAAAAATACATTAAATAGTCAAAATAATATGAAAATATTGTTCACGTATTTGTGAACAGTGTATACGGTGTAATATCATTTTTGGTGTCAAAATATCATTTTTCTTTAATTTATTATTGATGAAAAATGGTGAAAACTAATTTTTCTAATTTAATAAAGCACCAATCAAGAAGTTTATGAGTATCAGACAAAGGAGACCCAGCTCAAAGGAGGCCCGACTCGTTAAATATCTTCAAAGAGTATAGAACTTAGCTAAAAATTTCAAATTCTGGGAAATAGTTTATGTACCTAGAGAGCATAATGTCTGAGCAGATCTTTTATCGAAACTCGCCAACACTAAGAAGTCATGCCACAATAGGATTGTGATACAAGAAACCTTCGTTGTTCCCAACACAAAGAAGAAGGAAGTCAACACCATAGTTGTCACTGAAGCCCCAAATTAGATGAGCCCTAAAGTGCACTACCTGAGAATAGAAGAACTTCATTCAAACAAGGTCGAAGCGAAAAAGATTAAAATTTTATCACCAAAGTATACCATGGTAGGATAAAAAATATACAATACATAAAGGGTATCCCTCATGCTGAGATGTTTGTGAGAGGATGAGACTGCCCTAGTTGTCACTGAGGTCCATGAATGGGTTTGTGGAAACCACATTGTTGGGTGAACACTCACTCATAAGATACTTAGCAGCCAAATTAAGACACCAATCATGGTACCTGGACTCTGAGTGCTCACGTCACATGATGAGAATAAAGCATATGTTCCAAGATCAGGAACTTAAACCTAAAGGCTTAGTTGGTTTCAGAGGCAATCAAAAGGGTAAAATTATTGGCTCTGAAACTATTAATAATGTCTCTCTCTCCCTTCTATTAAAAATGTCTTATTATTTCAAGGATTAATGCATACCCTCTGGTCCATAACTCAATTAAGTGACAATGATTATGATATTATCTTTAATAAAAAAGTCTTGAAAAGCTGTTAGTCAAAAGGATGGCTCTGTACTCTTCAATGGCAAGAGGAAAAAAACATTTACGAAATTAGACTTTCAGATTTAAAAAATAAAAATGTTAAATGTCTCATGTCTTTGAAGAAGAGCAATGGACATCGCATAAATGAATATGCCATTTTAAAATGAGAAGAATCTCAAAGATAAATAAGCTGAACTTAGTTAGAGGCTTTCCAAATTTGAAGTTTGCTTCAGATGCTCTTTGTGAAGTATGTGAGAAAGGCAAGTTTTCAAAAACTTCTCCAGAGCTTAAAATGTTATTTCAACCCCCAGGCCTTTGGAATTTTTGCACACTGATCTATTTGGTCCAGTGAAAACAACCTATGTCAATGGCAAAAACGATGGGTTATTTATTGTAGATGACTACAAGATATGTACATGGGTAAAGTTCTTAAAACACAGGAATGAGTCATATTTTGTGATTGCTACCGTCTGCTCTCAAGTGCGAAATGAAAAAGATTTTAAAATTGTCAGAGTCATAAGTGATCATGGTGGATAATTTGAAAACAAGGACTTTGAATTTTTTTTTGATGAAAATGGAATTTATCATGATTTCTTTTTTCCTAGAACTCCTCAACGAAATTAAAATTCTGGCACACACAATATCAGAAGTCAATACTGATGTCTCAACAACACACAATGTCACGACATATATTGTAATATCTACTGACAGAAAATAGACTTGTTAAAACAAAAAGACTGCGCAGAAAAGTAAATTGCAGAAACTTAAAGAACACAATCAATTGTTAACCCAATTTGATGCAACTCACCTATTCTAGAGGTTACCAAGCCAGGAAGGAAATTCACTATCAGTAGTATCAATTCGAAGCTAAGCAGTCCCAGTTTACACTTCTTACTTAATTCTTACCCAATACAATTTCTACCTAGGAACCTCCTAGATATGAGAACCCCTATCACTCCTAATCACCGCAGTGATATCAAACAATCCCAGTCCCAGGGAATTTCTTAAGAACCCAAAAAGAAGAACACTCTTCCAAAAAAAAATACTCTGTAAAAGATCCATGGAGTTACTCCCTTTGTGAACTACCATTCCATTAAATAAATTTGAGTCGTTGCCCATTTCTTTGCTACTCTTATCTTATTTCAGCTTTATAAAATTTCTTTTAATCTTGATGATGGTTTTGAAACAATTTTTTAACAAAAATGCATTTTAAAATATGTATAGCAACACATAGTGTTTTCTTATAACTCGTGAATTTGAAAGGGAATGTTACTGGTTACCCCTAAGACTGGTTAAATTATGACATGTGTAACTAAGGAGGCAATGTGCTTTTCAAAAAACGTCGGGTAATTAAGTTTCATCCAGTTAATCTTTCAAAGAGATTGTTTCCCTTTCCTTTTGAGTTGTTGAAAAAATGAACTTCGGGTTTTCCCCCAGAGAAATGATATTTTCCCCTCCTGGAGGTAGTAACCTTACAACAAGTCCTTACTTCATCATTGGCTCCACTTTTTTTGTCCCCAAGCAATGTTAAGATTACCCGAGTGCCTGTGTATTATATTTTGTCATCTCCGGTGTTATCATCTGTTTATCTTATTTGTATCTGTACAGTAAGTGTATACATGACATTCATTAATTCATACATACTTATATCATCCATGTGCATTTGCACTTGGTCGGTGTTCTAGAGTCCACTTAATTCGGTTGTGTTTGTCCCCAAGTAGTGTATTTATTTCCCTATTGATGCATTCACTCTTCTCAATAGAATGTCAGCCATAGGCAGAAAGGTGTATATCCCTTTTGATTCCCCACCGAGTTTATTCCTCGTGGGAAGGTTTTGCATTTGCTTTCCCATCCATCTCTGGATAGGGTGAATCCCCAGTTGAGTTTATTCCTCTTTGAGAAAAGTCTTGTTTGGCTTCCTCTCTCCAGTTTATCCCTGAATTGAACCTTGTCTTTGACGAATAAGTTTTGATCGGATCTATCCAGGTAAATAAAACCTAGATTGAGAGTGCATTTATTTTGCACATTGAAGGCTTTCTCTTTATTTGAAGAAATTTATTCTGAAAAATTAATGACCGACATTTTTTAAGACCCCCATGTACAGACTTTATCTCCTCAGCAGGGGCTTGTTTGCAATTCCCCAGGAAGTTGTATTTATCTCTCAGCAGCATTATTGCAATACTCTCAGAATTATCATCCGACAACAAGTAGTGGTCTCTTTATCTGAGAAGCTTGTGTGTCCCAAGATTTCCTTTTGGACAGAAAATGACAGTCACTTTTGAGTAGTCCGTCAATTCCCAGGTAAGTTATACCCATATATCAAGGTTGTTATTTACTTCAACGGTTGGTTAATCTCTTCGATATGATGGAGATAATTCGTTGTGAAGATTTTTTGTTAACTTCGATGGATGGTTAATCTCTTCGATATGATGATGATTTTTCATTGTGAAAACTCAATACAAGTGGTTACCTTTTAAAGAGTTTATTGCTACCATTTTCAAGTAGAAGACTTGATTAAAGAAGAAGTTGAGACCCGTTCGTTATGGGGAAGCTTATTGTTATCATTTTCAAGTAGAAGACTTGATCAAAGAATAAACTGAGACCCGTTCGTCGTGGGGAAGTTTATTGCTACCCTTTTCAAGTGGGAGACTTGATTAAAGAAGAAGGTGAGATTCGTTCGTCATGGGGAAGCTTATTGTTATCATTTTCAAGTAGAATGCTTGATCAAAGAATAAATTGAGACCCGTTCGTCGTGTGGAGGTTTATTGCTACCCTTTTCAAGTGGAATATTTGATTAAAAAAGAAG